AGCTCGGGTCTTGCAGGACCCCACCGTGCCTCACCTGCAGCGTGTGTGCACGTGGGACACAGCCTGCCCCGCCGAAGGGCTGGCACGGGTCTCTGTGATGCCACCCCACAGTGCGTGCGGTGGGGAAGCGAGCAGCTCTGCCTCTGACCTTTCGTCGGGCTCTCCAGAGAGTCGGGCTCTTGGAAACAGATGGAACAGAGAGCTCGGCAGCAAACACGGCCCTTCCTCTCACTCAGCCTCGACTGCGGCACCACTTCACTGCGGAGAGGAGCGGTGGGAACTGACTGGGGCTGCCCGATTCGGCTCAGGGACAGGGCTTCTTCCGCGCCCCTCTGGGGAGCAGGACTCCCTGTCCAGCTAGCGCTGTACTGCTTTTGGCACAGGGCAGTGTTTTCCACAACTGCAAGCCAGCATTGACACAGTACTAGAACTCGATAAGTGATGGGACCCAGAACTGTCCTGGCCCAGCTCTTGTTGATTTAAAGGACTTGGTTCCTTCTCCCCAAGGCTCCTGCCGGCCCACAGGCTGTAGCTTGGGCCGCAAGGCGCAGCTGGGATGTTTCAGAGTGGAGGCATCTGTGCCCTTTCATGCTGCTCGATTTCCTTTCTGAGGAGCTGTGAAGCCTGTTTGTCCTGGGACTTGTTTCAAACAAAGGCCAACCTGTTTCTTTCTAATAAGGCCATGAGGTTTGCTTCCCCACTGCTGCAGGGCATTTCCCGTCGGGCCCACTCCCCTTTGCTCTGGGTTTGCAGGGCTGCCGGCGGCCCCCGAGGTAACAAGAGTGTCCTGCGTTTCTTTTCAGTACGAGGATCGTCACGCAAAGTGGGACGTGAACCAAGCTGGCTTCAGCCACAGCCACCAGCATGGCTTCGGCTTGCTGAACGCCTGGAGGCTGGTCAACGCTGCCAAGGTAATTCCCCTCCTCTTCCCAAGCGTGCCCCGAGGTGGGGAGAGCAGCCCCAGCCAGCCCGGTGACAGCGATGGGTCCCATACGGGCAGCACCGTGGCGTGACACCGTTGCTGTTCGGGGCCAGTGCTTTGGCCATCGTCCTGCCGGCCCTCGCTATAAGGCTGCTTTTGGTATGAAGTCATGAGGCTTTTCGGCCGTGCCGTAAACCTGCCCCCAAGCCGCCGCTCGCTCAGCACTATATATAGCCATGGGCGAGAGCCCTCGCTGGTGGGAGACAACAGCTCTGATTTATGACCTGGGGAGTTTCGTCAGCGGCCCCAGCACCTTCCTCCCTACACAGAGGGCTCCGTCGAGGGTGTCCTGCACCGAGGAAACAGGGTGTTCCCAGCTGGCAGCTCCACATCGCAGGGGCCACTCGTGCTGCCGTGTGGTCAGAGTGGGCGGGGGCGTCCCTGTCTCTGCTGCCCTGTGTCCCCACCACCTGCCAGAGCAGGGCACAGCCCTCTGCCGCTTGGTCCTCGCTTGCACACGGAGCACCGGGCAGCTGTGCCAGGTCGCTGCCAGCAACGACCCCTGTTCCGCAGGGACCTTCTGCTGCACTCTCCTCCCACAGAACTTCAGATTCTGCTGCATTTCCTCCTCTGCTGTGAGAAAGAGAATAGGGGCTGCAAGTAACCGCTCAAAGCAACTCGGGCAGTGGCAGAGAAACCCCGAGCTGGGGAGTTCTAGGTCTTGACCCTGTAGCCCACAAGCAGTCGATTTCTTTCAGCTCCTTAGGTGTGGGCGCTCCTCTCCAGCCCTGCGGCTGCCTGGGTTCGTGTGCCCCAGAGCAGCGTCGGGAGAGGCCCCTTGGCCTGGGGCCAGGCTGGCTACGGGCAGGAGCGGCTTGTGAGGGTGGTGGGATATCCGGAGAAGAGCACACAGCCTCCAGCTGAATCCTGTCCGCTTTCCCCTGACAGATCTGGGAGTCCGTCCCATACCTCGCCTCGTACGTGAGCCCTGTGCTGAAGGAGGGCAGGAGCATCCCGTTACTCCCACAGGAGCTGGAGGTCGCCTGGAATGGTGAGAGCAGCTGTGCCACGTGAAAGCACGTGCTGGGACACCCCGAGGCTGGGGATCCCGCCTGTTCCTGCTGGCACAGGGCACAGCTGGGCATGTTGGCAGCCCGGCAGGGTGAGCCCTGGGCTGGGTGAGGCTGCGGACGGGTTGAGTGTTGGGCTGCCTGGACTTTCCTCTCTCTTTTCGCTGTCCTTCCCCAGAGGATCTGTGTCTCTGACCACTGTGTTCACAGTCCCCTCCCCGATAACTCCATCCCATGGGCTGATGTTTCTGAGGAGCCAGCCAGCATTAGCGAGCGTGGCCAGGCCCGCTCTTCTGGCTTTGACCATTTTAGGTAAAGCTCCAGCTCCCGACTTGGCCAGCCTCGGCTGCATAAACAAGGCGCTGTTCTGGCTGCTGGCTTTTGGAAGGAGAGCACCGCAGAGCCCAGCGGGACAGGGGGACAGGAGTGACACCCTGCTGCTCAGGGTTTAGCCCCCCTCTGCCTCTGAGGAGAGGGCTGGGGGTCAAGCAGCAACTTCTGCCCTAAAAGGAGTTGTGAACTGAACTCTGGGCAGCAAGCAGGGTTTTGAAGAGACAAAAAAGCAGCACTTTGGAGAAGTATGCTTGAAGGAAAGTGTGGCCAGGGCCACTGCTGTCCCCCAGGTAGCACAGGCTGGCTCAGAGTTAACCCTTCCCCTGTGTGGCCGCACTGCGGGCAGGCTGCCTGCTCCTTGGTGTGCCTGTCTGCCCTTGCGGGACAAGAGGCCAGGGAGCACCCACCTGGGCCTAGGATGGGGCTGCTGGGGGCAGGCCGGGCGTTGAGCTGAAATCAGCTCCGAAGCGTGTCAAGAGTTTCCTGTGCTATAATTAACAGCCTTGGAGCTGTGAATGGTTTGAGGAGAGACCGGTGAGCCTGGACACCAGGCTTCTCAGCCCAGTCCTTGCTCCAAACGTGGCTCCTGTGTAACTGTTCCTGTCATCTTCCTGCCCCGGGACGTGCTGGGGGGTGCGTGGGAGTCAGCTCTCCCACTGCTCAGCAGCTGCCTGTTGCCCCTCCTTCCTCACCACCTGCTCCTCACTTCTTGCTCAGCGTCCTTACCTTCTTCTCTGCTCCTGGCTGGGCTCAGCGTGCTGGCACGGGATGCCACCTGCATCTCTGCTCCGGGAGCACCCGACAGCCCCTGGCCCACATCCAGCAGCCTGAGCAGGATGTGAGGTGCCCGGGAGGGAGTGTGCCAGGACACCTGTCCCTGTGCTAGCCAGCGGGGTGTGTGGGTGGCTCGGCTTAGGCAGACAAGGAGGTTCCTCGCAGAGCGTGGAGCAGGGCCAGGCTGCTGAGCCCAGTGGCACAGCCTTGCTGCCGGGCGCTTGGCAGAGCCTCCTTGTGTGGGATAGGGCTGTGCTGGCTCTGCCTCTTGCTCCAGGGGTGCAGACACACAGGAGTGGCCGGGAGGAGGCCAAGACTAATGTGTGTGTCCCCTTTTAAGTGGCATGGCAGCCCCTTAGGGTCAACTGGAAATGGGGACTGCATCCCAGCCACCAGCCTGGGTAAACGCTGCCTTCCCTTTCCCAGTCACCACCACTGACCTGGAGCTCTCCGGCATGAAGACGCTGGAGCATGTGGCAGTCACCGTCACC